AGTAATATTAGTTGATTTTATTATATAAAGAAAATAAGGGGCCGATTTATGGCTGAGTGATGGTCGTTCGATGAAGGACTTAACCGGCAAATATTACAACACCGGCGACAACGTCAATTTTCATTTCCCCATAAGCTTTCACGATCAGGATGTTAGCTTGAATCGTTCGGGGAATTAACACCGCCCGATGAACTGAGAGGTGATCTGTTGGGCTATCAATTATTTTCGTAAAACTCTCTGTCAGCCTAACCGGATTTTCCGTTCAGGTATTTAATAAACTCCATTGCTTTTCACTTTCATTTGTAGCATTCAATGTTCTTTCATTAGCAGCAATAATATGATTTTTACAGAAGAGAAACAGACTCAAAGTGAAATAATCATTTTTTTTTCTTTTGGTGTTGGACCATAAATGTTGGGAAACACCCGAAGATATAGACATTGCAAGGACTATTTACTCGGGTAGTTTTGTCATACGGCAGTATAATTTAAGGTTAAGGAGTAGAAGGAAATGGGAGCGACCGAAAATGTTATGAATCATAACATTTTCAGTTTAATGCAATTTAATATGTTAACATTTTCGGTTCAAAATGTTATGAAGAATGTAGCATTTTCAGTTGAATTGAAAATTTTATAAAGAAGGCTTTCAACCGAAAAATGTTTAAAAAATTAACATTTTATGTTGCGCCCGACCGAAAATTTTATAATTTTTATAATATTTTTTATCACGTATTTCTTTAATTTTAAATTAGGCTGCCTTTCCTTGGACTCTTCCTTTACTTGGTGGATGCATCCACACCAGCTTTTGAAGTGGCGGCTGAGACGACATCGCTCTTGTAGCTTCGTCCATAATGTTCAGCTCATTGAACTCACTGTAATACCCAAAATTCAGCAAGTGATCAAAATATAATTTTTGAAAGTTTAATAGCTAAAGTATAAATTTGCAAAAAGTTCAGATATTAAAATAATAATTTTTCCAAAAAGAAGTTTTATCCCGTAAATGAATAATTCTCCCCAATAATGATATTTTCTTGAGGATTAGATTTTTGATTCGAAATTTATATAAAAAACTATAAAACGAGAAACTTTGATAAATATTTGGATAAACGAATCAAATCAGAAATTCAGGAAATTGTGAAGGATAACATTAAAAGGTTAATAATTTCATTTCCATATTTTTAATTTGTGAAATTTAACATGGATTGTTGGATTTAAATTGATTTTCCATGTTAAACCAAAATTATTAGATTATAATGCCTAGATTTGTAAATTCGGAAAAAGTACAAGAATAAAGTTGAAAAGAATGAATATTTTTGTTCATATTTGACTTTAATTATGTACGAGATTATGTAAGAAGGATGATGCATGATAATTGCATTGATAATAATTATCATAAATTTTTAATGGTAAAATGGTCTTTTAGCATAAAATGAATTAAAAATTCATTTTAATTAGTTTTAAGACAAGTGTATCATGATATTTTAATGGAAAAATCAAGAAATCTTCTCTTCTTCATCATCCCAACGTGGCCTCCATAGCTAAGGTAAGAATATTTTTATTTTTATTTTATTTTAAGTAATTTTGTTAGGGTTTTTGACTAAAGTGTGAAATAGAGAATTAATCTGCATCAAATTCTCTATCATTTGGTATAATTATTTCATTGTTTTTTTTGCTTGGATCATTGGTTTGTTATTAAGGTGGATGAAGAACAAATTGGATTTTAATGATTTAAGGATGGATTTTGATTTAGTAGATGTTGTTGAGTTGTTTCCAAGCATGTGTGATGAATAAAATAAAATAAAATAAATTGGAAATACATGTATAAGGATTTGGCTAAGGCTAGAGTTTGAAGGAAATATTGATTTTGGATTGAATATGATATGGAAATAATTGAGATTGCATGAGAATGGCGTTTAGAAGATGAATTCATGTTTGAATCAAGTTGAAAATCAAGTTAGATACACTTTATTATATTCATCTATGAAGAAAAAGTTAGGGGAAAATATTGAAAATTTTCATTAAGCTTAGAAACGGTATTAAAATGATTCAACATGCTTTGAAATGTGATTTGGACCAATTTAAAAGTTTGTGAAAATATAGGCACCTATTCACGTATTTTGAGAAATTTAGGGATTAAAGTGTAATTATTCAATAATTGATGTATTATGATGAAATTTAATGTTAGAATGTTGAATTTGATATTAGATGGTGAAATTGGACAGTTTTGAGAAGTTGGAAAAGTTTGAGGACCAAACCACACATATGGAAAAATTGGGAATTTAAGTGAAAATTGTGTAATTGTTGAGGTATTATACTGGAATTAAATGCTGAAATTTTTAATTAAGTTAATTGAAGTTTGAATTGAAGAAAAATGACAAGAGACCATTTTGAATAAATTGGAAAAAGTTTGGGCGAATTCTAAAAGAATTCATTTCATTGGTTAAGAATGTGAAATTGGGATTAGTGAATGAATATGGATAGTAAGAGGATTGATTTTGCATTTTTAAAGTGTTTAAGTAAGTATTGAAAATGCGAATTTGAGTTTATATCGAATATTAATTAATTGCATAATTAGTAATTTTTAAGTTAATATACACTTATTATGTTAGTGTAGATACTAACATATGCTTTGAATTTTATATGTTGGTAAATTATACTCACGTAGATTGTACTTGAGATCGTGAGATGAGTAAGCTTAAAGCTAAAGAAAAGTACGAGAATAAAGACTTATACTAAAAATATAGGTTCACTAGTGAGACAGTACCAGGTGAGTGCATTATTGTTTTTATACTATCGTATATGATATGAGAACGACTTGCGATGAGCCAACCTCAAATGAATTGGAAAGAAAAGTATTTAAATTATATTATGATTTATTTTTATATTGTTTACAAAACGATATTAAGATGATTTGAGTATGGATTACTCAATACATTTTTATATGATATTCTATTTAATAATATTTGAATAGTTTCTAAAAATGGCTTCGAAATGATTATATTGTATGAAATATTCAAAGTATTTTATACGATCTATGATATATGATTATGGATGATTGTGGGTATGAACTGCCCAACACACTTTTATATGATATTTGGAACATGTTAGTACATATGAATGCATTGGATATATGAATGAGATATGTTATGACGTAAAAACCCATTGTATGGACATTGTGAGTCGTAGGTACAATTGACATGACATGAAGTGGAGTGATTAGTGCTTACTGAACTGGTACATTCATGTACAATATATTTGGCATTGTTGGTGCAAGTTATATGAGGCACTTTCGAGTGCATATTACAGATGAGACACTTTCGAGTACAATTGATATATAATGGGAGAAGAACAAGAACTTTCATAGGTTATGGTCGGTTTGGTTGCAGAAGAACAGGAACTAATTCTTACATTACTCAGATGATGTAGGGGGATCCGAGACATATGATGCTGAGCTGTCAGATTGCACCTTGATGGCGCTGAGATACCATGAATTGGCAGATCAGCACAAAGGCGGGAATTGATTGTGACATGTTCCTCATTAGGGGTTGTTTTGAGTATGTTGCAGTCTTTTGGTCATAACTTTGGCTATATGTGTCAGAATCGCGCATAAGACCCCAATCCGTAAAGCTCTTTTCGACGCGCACGCTCTTCACATGAGCTACGCTCCATGTGGCTTTTTTTCAACCTCAAATTCTGCCGTTTTCCCCTCCGAATCACTAGATTTAGATACTTTTTACTATTTATGGTAATATTTCGATTGTCAATTAGGAAGTCAATTTAAATCCGATTTAGGCCGGATTTTTTGGAGATTGCTTATTTTATTTCGAATTTCAATTTAGAGTGATTTTCGGGATTTTGCTATTTTTGGCAAAATTCGAATAAAGACGATTTTTTGCTATAACAGTCCAGCTTGTGGACTGATTTTGGGAGGTTTTGATTTTATAATATTTTATTAAATCCTAGAGACTTTTTCTCTGGTTTTTTGAGCGAATTCTTTCTTGTGAATCATCTGTTGGAGCTAGCCTGCAGGATAATCATTATTCTGTCCGGCGTCATCAGATCTATTCTTTTAAAAGTTTCAATCTTCATTCTCACGCCCCCTTTTGGATCCATGTTTTGTAGACTCTTCTCTCCTCTGCAGTTTATGTGGCAAATTAGTTTAGGTTCCAACGAAAAATACCGAAGAAGTACACGAAAACTTGAAATTTTGTTACCTTTCTTTTTGAACCTTTCACCCGTCGTTGGCGTCCAGTATTTTTTGTTTTCGGTTTATCCTAGTACAAGCCAATAGAGTAGAACTTAGGTTCCTGCATGGATGCTCAATGTTCAATCAAACAGAAAAATTCAGATTTCAGACAAAACAATCTTTGCAACAGCATCAACTGGAGCATCTGTTTCTGCAGCAATTTCCTGATTCTCAATTTCCCCGTCACTGTTGAGCATAGTCTTCAGTCTACCTTCCTCGAATAATTTCTTGGATTAACCATGCCTCTATAATGATAAAGGAAGTTTAGTTTGATCTGAATCAATTTATGTGAAACAAAACAAAACAACAATCTACATCCCGGCACCACATATAAATGTTGAAAAAGCGTATAATATCATCAATTCACATCCAGACATCACATCACATCACATCAAATTTTGTATCATTTCCTCAATTTGAAGGTAAACAAATTCTATATAAAAGGTTACTATAGTCTAAAAACTTTCCGGAACTGGATTGGAGATTGGCATATGGATTCTCCATCACTGGTGTGATTATCCGGTATTCCACTTCAAAGAGAAAACAAGAAATCCTGACGTCTTACCTTGGAATTAAGGTGAGCCCTTGTAGTCTCCTCATTCAAACACACAATTCTAGGGCACAACTTGCACCTAAAAAGCGATTTGCATTTCAGTATACAGCTTGGGAAATCATCCGGCAATACTTCTTCTTTGGTTGGGGTATGCAAGTTTTTCCGAGCACCGTGTTTAGTATGCAACTTATTGTTGATTAATATTTGTTTATCATCTTCAGATTCCTCATCATCATCTAAAAGACCTGGAAAACCAGGTCATATTAACCACAAAAAATAAAGGAGCATTTTTTAGCATTCACATACAATGCATGCTAATATTAAATAATGTCTAAATGAAAATCATGACATGTTAAATACTACTCCAACGTTCAATTTAGGACACTTGAATTGAACACATATCAAGACATGTTTATGAGAATATTGATCCTTCAAAGACCCAGAGAATACATGGAAAAACTTTAAATACACACACACACACACGCCTTTGACAACCAAATACCCGAATCTGACACATGCACCAAAATTCAAGTAAGATAGATCTTTCCTATTTATAAATACCTTAAATATAAAAGAGAAATATGCATGCAATGTTAAAAGTAGAAAACATCTGTTGTATCAAAGGATGAGCATGAGAAATTGTTGTGTTCTTTCCTCATTTAGAGAGAAAGAATCAGTTTACTTATGACAGATTCTAATGGAATCGATTAAACTTCAGAATTAATAGATAACATGACGATATTTAAATATTAACCAGAAAGACAAATTAACAGCTGAAATTCATACCGTGTCAGACTTAGCTTATATACTTTGACATGAAATATGCAACACTTTTCTCATTTACAGAGTCAACTGACCTAAGATGGATTTTAATAGCTCCAATCAAATTTCAAACAAACAATATATCAGGAAAAGTTTAAATGGGGACTAGAAAGATAAATTAACACTTGCGATCTTAGAGAATTTCAGACATGGCTTAAATACTTTGGCAAGAAAAAATGCAACACTTTTCTCATCTATAGAGAAAGAGTCAGCTTACTGGCAACAGATTTTAACAGAACCAATCAAACTTCAGGCATATTAGATATCAGGACATTCTAAAATACATACTAGAAAGACAGATTAATAGCCGCTATTATTTGCAAATTTTGGACATGGCTTCTATTGTTTGACATGAACAATGCAACACTTTCTTTAACCATATGCATGCAAAGTTCATGAATCGAAGTTTTGTTTCTCATGCAAATCACGAAATTATGAACTCTCTCAATTCAATTATAAAATTATACCTGCAGAGTCCACACCAACTTCATTTGCGGAGCTATCCTCGCTCTCATATCCTAAAATCAAACAAGCATACAAATTGTTTAATCTCATGAAAACAATTTAATCTCGGATATGAACTGATAGATGAAAACACATTAAAGCTTGAGCCTTGAGGATATATACAAGTCATCAGTAAAACCTAAGAAACAAACCAGAAGACGTTGAGCAAGCTTGATCATGCTGTTATACTTGAGCAGCAACTTCTTGTTCTGATTCAGATTCAGATTCTTCCGAGGCTTCCACTTCAAGTTCAGAGTCCGAAGACGAATCCGAGACATTATCTTTATCACCGTGTTCAAATTTATAGAACCTCCTCTTTATCATTTCTTTTAGCAAAGCTTCTGGATACTGTGATAACATAAACAAGATCAAACGAGGAGGTTAAAATTTATCTCCTATATTGAATATGGTAATTCACAGTTTCAAAGGCTTTCAATTAACGGTGAAAGCTCTTGAAATCATCCATTATAAAGATAAGTATAGAAGAAAGATCAAACCGTTTAGCTATTGTGCACCGTTTTCTCTCTGGGCGTACGTTAGCAGGTCTAACGGAACCCACGCCGACGGTGGTTCTCAGGCGACCTGTTCCTTTTCTCTACTATTCTCACTCTTTTATCTCCCCCTGGGCGCTGTTTTTCCTCTCTCCCATGGACTGGAGAAAGCTTTTCGGCTGTCAAGCGGGGCAAGAGCTTCAGTTCTTCCCACCAAAATCTTGCGATTCTGACCCTATTGTCCATCCTCCACCAGAGGTCTTTGAAGCTGGAATTGTTGAATGGAGGACATCACTTGTGGGTCAATTCCTTGGGGCTGCACCAAATTTCTCAACTATGCAGCGGATGATTGAGAATTTATGGAATAACCCAACAAAGGGGATTCATGTTCAGGTGAGTTTCGCAGGCATAAACCTTTATTTATTCTCTTTCAATACTGATTCTGCAAGAAACTGGGTTATGGAAAATGGTCCATGGCACATATTAAACAAACCTCTAATACTAAGGAAATGGGAACCAAACTCTAAAAGACTGCACTTTGATCTTTCTCGTATTCCCTTATGGATTCATCTTTTCAATGCCCCTCTTGAATTATTTTCAAAAGAGGGATTAAGTTATATTGCTAGTGCAGTAGGAATCCCTCTTTCGATGGACTCTGTTACTGCCTCAAAGACTCAATTAGAATTTGCTAAGATTTGCGTTGAGGTAGGAGTACAGGATGAAATTCCGAAATCTATTGATGTGATTCTTGCAAATGGTCAATCTACCTCTGTCTTCGTTGAAGTCACCTGGTTCCCTTCCAGTTGCAAAAGTTGTAATACTTTTGTTCATAATGATAAAGGGTGTATGGCTAAACATTCAGCAGCTCCTAATTCTACTCAAGTCTGGAGAAAAAAAGGAGATTCTAACCCTATATCCCTTATCAACCATGATAAGCCTGGTTGTTCTGAAGCCTCTTTACAATCTGGTTATGCCTTTCAGAATTTAACTGATTCTGTCTCTCAGAATTTAATTGATTATATTTCTTCAAAAGAACCAGTATTTCCTTCTTCGACTCCTACTGAACCTGCAGTCAAGGAAAATCCTCCTTCAATCTTTCCAGTTCAAGAAGAGGCTCTCACTGCTCTTAATAAATCTGCAGTCAAGGATAATCCTCCTTCAATTGTTCAAGAAGAGGATCTCACTGCTCCAAATAAATCTGTCTCTTGTATCGAACTCCCCAGTTCTTCTTTAACTCACTCAGACACTGCTGCTGTTAGTGATCAACCTTCAACTCTCCTTAACACAATAGAGGTCCCCTTTCCTCTCATTGTCTCCTCTAATATAGGTATTCCTACTCATTCAGCACCTGGAATTATTTCGACATCTACTTCTGTCCCTAAAAGAGGCAGAGGTAGACATGTCAAGATTAAAACAAAGAATGCACTAAAAGAATCCTCTAATAGATTTGAGGTTTTAAGTACTGTTAAAGAAAACTCTTCCTCCTTGGAGGATCTTAGTAAAAAACCAAGGTCTGTTTTTTTAGGTGTGGCTTTATTGATCAAAGATCTCAAAAATAAAAAGAAAGAACAACTTGTTTGTAACACCCCAATTTAGGGGCTAAAATTAAGAAATTATAAAGTGGTGGATTTAATTGGTATTTGGAAGAAATTTGGGGATTAAATTGTCAGATTTCAAAGATGGCAGACCGTTTTAAGAAATGCATGAAGTTTAGTGGCTAAAGTCATGATTTAACCAATTTTTATATATGTTGAATTATAAGTTCCCCCGTGCGCAGGTTCAGCGGAAAATTTTCCAGTTTTCCTCTCCCGTTCTCCCTACTTCGAACTCCGATCTACTCGCCGTCCGACCTCCGATCGACGAGCCGAAACCACCATCGTGTTCGTTGTCAACCGAGGAACAAAACCCCTCAAACCTTTCGTCGTGAATCATCTCCGTTCGTCGTTAATTTCAGTCGGAAGTATCGTCGGTAATAACTCGGTTTTAGTTGGTTTTTCATCGATTCACAACGATCGGGTCATCCGTTTACGACACCTCCTGCACCATCGTGTTCCTTGTGCCGTTCCGAGTCCACCGGTGTCCTCCCTTTTCTCCGGCGGCGGCGGCGCGTGTGGAGGTGAAGCGGTTAAAGTTTCCGATTTGTTGAAATCGAGCTCTCCGCCGTTCAAAATTGTGAACCGAGCTTTGTAAGTATCTCGAAATCGCTCAAAATAATTTTTAGAAATTTTTCCGGGATTTTATCACTGTTCACGCGCCCCCACGCGCCGCCACTGCGCGTGGGGAAGACAAAAGTGACCGGTTTGACCGGTTTTAGTGGATAGTTGACCGGTTTGACCGGTCATAACCCGACCCGACCCGTTTACCCGACCAGTTGACCCGACCCGGCCCGTTGACCCGAACCGTTGACCCGTTGACCGTTGACCCGTTGACCGTTGACCGGAGTTGACCACTGTTGACCAAAACTTTGACCGGCTTTGATCGGGCATTAAACGACCTTTGACTTCGACCGAGTATACCTATCCTGACATTTTTCGACGTTCCAAATCCGATTCCGCTATCCGTTTTTCGAAATTCGAACCCGAAGGTCTCGAAATTGCCGGTCAAACCCGTTGACTTTGATTTTGATCGAAAATTCTGAATTTTCGAAAAGTCATATTTTATGCTTTCGACGTCCTGAATCCGAATCCGAAGTCTGTTTCGCCAAATTTGAACCCGGTAAGCCGTCTTTCACTGATTTATCACCCAATTCGATCCGTTTATCGTAATTAAGCTTCGTTTCTGATATAATTTATGTTGATATGTATCTGAGGAATTATTGGAAGTTGAATTGAAGATCAAAGGCGTTCGAATGGAATTTTTATGGTCGATCAGTATTGCACGGAAATCGAGGTAATACTTTACTACCTCTTTATGCTTTATGGAACATGTTGGTATTGATAAATGCATGAATGGAAATGTTTGGTCTCATATGTGTAATTAATGAAGATCTACACTAGGTACGAATACGGTAGAAAGTAGATAACTGAATATGGCTCAGATGACTATTATAAGAAATTGGAGGACGGTTTGAATTAAATTACAAGTTCCGGAATTAAGTAATAAAAGAATTAACCATGGATTGTAGATTATAATTTATCTCATTAAAGGTACTTAGATGATAAATTAAGATAATATTTCGATTAGGGGAAATTACGAAATTACCCTTATGTTGGAAAATGATAAGAATTGTCTCTGGAAGTGGATTAATAAATCTGAGAAGAATTATTGATCTGCTAAAACTATTGATGTGCATAAGAAATGTTAGTTTTACTTGGAAATTATGGAGAACCGGTTTTTAACCCCAAGAAGGTTTATGCAAGATACTAGAAGTGTGTTAAGGGAATTATTTCAAGATCAGAGATTGTTCAAGAAAGCAATTAATCATAGGATCTCTAAATTATATTATTTTCGTTAAGAGCTAATATCGAACTTATCTGGTTAAGAAATTACGGAAATGCCTTAAGAGGTAGAATAGTCTGAGATGACTCTGAATGAGAAAATACTTAGAGGATTCATACTTAACTCGATTAAGTACGGATTTAATTGTTAAGATCCCGACTTAGTGCAGGAAAATTTATGATATTCCGTTTGTAAAGTCTGAGAAGACACTTGACCTGAAAATATTCGAATAATGAGTAAATACTGGAAGAGTAATTTATCGGGGTATTCTGCTGTCAGAATTGTTCGAAAGGACTGAAGTAAATGATAAGATTGAATTAAATAATAAGATCGGATGAAAGGAAAAGATTGAAATACCGTAGATCTGTAAAATGACCAAAATACCCCTGTAATGGAAATGACCCAAGAATATCACCAAGCTCAGGAATGATTGAATATCCTCGAGTTCTGAAATGAATGGAACAAAACTAAACATCAAATTACCAAAATACCCTTATGGCCTAAATTAAGTAAATGTCTTGGATTAATTAAGGAATCCAAGTAAGCATATGTATTGGACTACCTTTAAAGGTAATGGAAAATAATTTAAGTGAGTAGATCAAACCTAAAGCTATGTCAATACCTGAATGGCATAGATATTACTGGAACATATGTTCGTCTTCTCAAGTTTGGCTCGATGACGAATCTTGGAAGTATTCAGTTCAGCTCAGATCTAGATCGTATTCAGTACTAAGAATTGGACGTTTGTTCAACAATCAACCACGAAGACCAAATTGAATGGGATGGAAGTACAACATGTATCTGAAATTCAGGAACGTTTGACTTACTCTGGAAAATTCTGAAGTAACTGGAATGGAGATGACTGCTAAATGAAATAGGTAACCTCAATGACTGAGGATTTAGTAAGTGATTTGGATAAGTCTGGAAACTCTGATGAGTTTACGTAGTGTACAATTACAATGGGTTATGAACAAATTAATCAAGTACGTCAACATTTCATGATATTGTGGAAGTGTGGAAATGAAATAAAGTCATTGGAAGATTTATTCAGCGATAATTCCGAAAATGGTCTACGGACAAGAATTTGTGGTATTAAAGAGTAAATACCCTAGAAGGAAAATGAATTGACCAGTCCACATAGATTGTTAAGGTTCTGAATCTTCGTTCTCAAGTTGTTCGATTATCTGATCAATCGACATGGATGTAAAGGATTCTGAATACCCTTCTGATTACGTACAGCTTCTGAAAACTGTCCGAATAAGATAATATCCTGATAATTCACATTCTGAATAACTGATGATTCTGTCAGTTAATGAACTATTTCAAATAGTGATTCTAAATTCCGATATCCTATCGGTATACTGAATATTCATGTTTCTCTACCTGTTAAGATTATCCAATACCTCTGAATAA